CGCAAGAGTCGTTAGTAGCTGCCTATTGTTTCAAGTTAGGCAGGTTATGGAGTCGATTTGCTGCCAACAGAATGGAGAATCGTGTCGTACGTTTTTGTCTGCTCTCTCTCTCTCCCTCCCTCCCTCCCTCCCTCCCCCTTCTCTCTCACTCTCTCTCTCTCCGAACTTAATTTTCGTCCAGTACGCCCCCCCCCCGCGCGCAGCACGCAGCGTCCGTTTCCGTTTATTGGCATTTCAGTCGCGGCCCATCCGGACGCAGTTTTATCGCAGAACCGGGACTCATAAATGACAAAAGCGCGCGCTGGCTAATCGAGCCATGAATATGCTAATAACATTAAGAAAATTATCGCTTTTGTCTCATTTCCTCGCCGGCGCGTTTTAGGCCGGCCAGTTTCATGTGTAATCTTTGCCAGGAAAAAATCCCGAGCGAGCGCCTGCCTACATGTCAGCTTTCCTGCCTGCGTGCGTGCGTGCGTGCGTGCTTGCCTGTCTGCCTGCCAGCAGGCATGCATGTCAACTTTCCTGCGTGCGTGCGTGCGTGCGTGCGTGCCAGCATGCATGCCTGTCTACATGTCAGCTTTCCTGCCTGCCTGCCTGCCTGCCTGCCTGCCTGCATGCTTGACTGCTTGCATGCCTGCCTACCTACCTGCTTGCATGTCTGCGTGCTTGCCTGCCTGCCTGCGTGCTAACCTGCCTGCCTGCCTCTATTCATAACGAGCACGCACGCACGCACGCACGCACGCACGCCAAAAAGAGAGCGAGAGAGAAAAGAGAAATTGCAGCGCTGTTCACGTCGGCGCGCGTGAAGGAAGAAGACTCGTGACTCTCGGCCTCGCCTCGCCTCGCCTCGCCTGACGCAGCGCCGCCCTCGCTCGCTCGCTCGGCTGAAAGCCGCCATTCAGCGGCGACTTAATTGCGCGACATTATGTTACATTAATTACATTACTCGACGAAAAACAGCCGGACGCGATTAGAGGACGGCGCCTCCAGCATTAGAGGCGTGCGCATGCGCGAGACACACAAAATGGCGGCGGCCGGTAGAGGACGCCACCCGCCAATCATCGCTCGTGATGACAACAGTGCAGCCTTCTCGTGAAAGAATTTCTTCACTGGCGCCGATGACGTGGATGGGAATTAAACCCCGGCCGCCACTGTTGCCGCGCTGGGCGGCGACGTCTTCTTTCGATCGCATGCCGACAGACTATAGTGCGGGCAGCAGCAGCAGCAGCAGCAGCAGCAGCAGCAGCAGCAGCCGCGCGCGCTCGCTCGCTGGTAATCTCTGCATATTTGCTACGAGCCCTTATTGCGCATTCATAGAATTCTTTAATGCGTTCCCTGCTCAGCATGCCAAGTAACGTAGAGCGCTCGCTGCTGCTGCTGCTGATGATGATGCTGCTGCTGATGCTGCTGCTGCTGATAATGATGCTGCTGCAGTTGCTGCTGCTGCTGTTGCTGCTGCTGATGATGATGCTGCTGCTGCTGCTGATGATGATGATGATGCTGCTGTTGCTGCTGCTGTTGCTGATGATGACGCTGATAATGACGATGACGACGACGCCTCAACGACGACAATGATGATGATGATGATGACGATAATGCTGCCGCTGATGTTGCTGAGATCGCTTCCCTCTCGAGTTTGCGAGGCGAAAATAAATTATGAGAGCAACAATTACGAGGAAAGCCTAGTTGAAGCCAGGTAATCTCTCACCGTTTCCCAACGCATGTAAATTAGTTGCGGTAGAAGAACTAGAGAAAGAGAGGGGGCAGCTAGAGAGGGGGAGATGGGAGACGAGAGAGGGACAGCTAGAGAGAGAGAGAGAGAGAGAGAGAGAGAGAGAGAGAGAGAGAGAGAGAGAGAGAGAGAGAGAGAGAGAGAGAGAGAGAGAGAGAGAGAGAGAGAGAGAGAGAGACGAGAGAGAGAGA